CCACCTGCCCAAGAGCTCTGCCTGGGGCTTCCCCTGCCCACCTGGGCCATCCCCTGCCCACCTGGGCCATCCCCTGCCCACCTAGGCCATCCCCTGCCCACCTGGGCCATCCCCTGCCCACCTGGGCCATTCCCATAGCACCTGGGCCATCCCCTGCCCACCTGGGCCATGCCCTGCCCCAGTACCTGCCCTGCCTGCCCTGATGGGCTGTGCATGACCTGCCCACGCTGCCTGCACAGGTGTGGGCCCAGGGAGGGGGTGTGACCCTCTCTGCACACCTGGCAGGGGTGTGACCATCCCTGCACACCCAGGAGGGGTGTGACACCCCTGTGCACACCTGGCAGGGGTGTGACACCCCTGTGCACACCTGAGGCCCCGCGTGAGGCTGGCCGGGGCGTGGCCCCTCCGTGCACACCTGGCAGGGGTGTGACACCCCTGTGCACACCTGGCAGGGGTGTGACACCCCTGTGCACACCTAGCAGGGGTGTGACACCCCTGTGCACACCTGGCAGGGGTGTGACACCCCTGTGCACACCTGAGGCCCCGCGTGAGGCTGGCCGGGGCGTGGCCCCTCCTTGCACACTCGCGTGTCCCTGCTGAGCCGCCGCCATAATCCGCTTTGGGGACAAAGAGGATGAGCTGGGGGGAGGGGGAAGTGACACGGGGGCCACCAAGGGGGGGAGTGCAGGTGTGAAAATGAGGGGAGAGTGTGTGTGCAGGTGTGTGAGACACCTGTGTGTGTGTGATACCTGTATGTATGACACACGTGTGTGACACCTGTATGTGTGACACCTCTGTGTGTGTATTACACACCTGTGTGTGATACCTGTATATGTGTATGTGTGTGACACCTGTGTGTGTGATACCTGTGTGTGTGTATGTGTGTGACACCTGTGTGTGTGATACCTGTGTGTGTGTGTGTGTGACACCTCTGTGTGTGTATTACACACCTGTGTGTGTGATACCTTTATGTATGACACACCTGTGTGTGACTCCTGTATGTGACATACTTGTGTGTGTGACACCTGTCTGTGTGTGAGAGAGAGATACCTGTGTGTGACACACCTGTGTGTGTGTATAACACACCTGTGTGTGACACACCTGTGTGTGTGTATAACACACCTGTGTGTGACACACCTGTGTGCACCTGGTGTGCACAGGTGCGTGCACCCACCCGCCCCCACGGCCCGCGGTGTCCCGGCTCTGAGGGGCCCTGGCAGGATGGGGGCTCCGACACCCCCGAGGCGGGAGCTGAGGACATCCTTGCAGGGCGGGCTTCGGTGGCAGCCGGGCCAGCATGGCCGGGCCAGCCCGCGGCAGGTCCCCAGACCACCTCCAGACACTGGTGGGTCGCGGAATCCAGCATCCCTGTCCCGTTCCGGGAGGGTCACCACGCTCCAGCACCTTCCCCAGGGCCAGCACAGCTCTGTGGAGCCGCGATCCCGCTGGAGCAGAGGGAATGTCCCGGCTCCAGGGATCCCAGCGGGGACTGAGGGCACAGCGGGGATGGCACCGGGGGTCCCGGCACCTCAGAGGCAGGAGCTGGTGACAGAGGGACAGCCCTGGGTGGCCGCAGCAGCTCGGGGCGGCACCTCCCGCAGCTCCGCGTCCCCCGGGGCTCCGGGCCCTGCCGTTCCCGGCCCGCTCCGTTATTAAAGCGCTTTTCCCGCTCCGCCCGGCTCCTCCGCGTCTCCTCCGCAGCGGGCCAGCCCCGCTCGTTCTCCCGCCCGGCCCCGGCCCCTCCCGCCCTGCCCGGCGGCGGAATGCGCAGAGACCGCGGTGCTGGGGAGCACGAACAGCGTTATTTCAACAGCGAACGGGACCGCGGCACGGGGGGCGGCAGGGGAGGGGCGGCGGCACCGAGCGGCCCCGGGGCTGCGGCCGGCCCGGGCCCCGCGGCGGCACCGGGCCGGAACGGAGCGGGCCGGGGCCGCGTTCTGCAGCCAGAACCGCGTCCGGCCCGGCGCCGTCAGCCCAGCTGCTGCTTCAGGAACTGCAGGAAGTTCCTGAGCAGGCTGCAGAACTGCACCAGGCTCTGGTACGGCACCGAGATCAGCAGAAGCCTGTCCGGTGCCGGTGCCGGTGCCGGTGTTGTCACCGGCTCCTCGGGCACTGGGGGGGATGGCTGCCCCGGTGTTGGAGCAGCTGTTCCTGCTGGAGCAATCCCACCTGGAGCAAGTTCGGGGTGCTGAGGCCCCGTCCCAGGGCTGCTCCCCCATCCCTGGCCCGGGCTGGAACTGTGCCGGGATTGCCCGGGGGCAGCTCCTGCACTCGGCCTGAGACCCGGGCACAGACCTGGCACAGACACGAAACAGACCTGGGCACAGACCTGGGAGCAGACCTGGGAGTGCTGAGGCCCCGTCCCAGGGCTGCTCCCCCATCCCTGGCCCGGGCTGGAACTGTGCCGGGATTGCCCGGGGGCAGCTCCTGCACTCGGCCTGAGACGGGCACAGACCTGGCACAGACCCGGGAGCAGACACGGGCACAGACCCGGCACAGACCCTGCACAGACCTGGGCACAGACCCAGGCACGGACCCCGGCACAGACCCCGGCACAGACCTGGGAGCAGACCCGGGCACAGACCCAGGCACAGACCTGGCACAGACCCGGACACAGACCTGGGAGCAGACCTGGCACAGACCCGGGCACAGACCCGGGCACAGACCTAGCTCTCGTCTGTTCGGGCTCAGTAGTGGGAAACCAGCAGGTGGCATTGGTAAGGACACGCTGACCAGGACACTGTGACTGGGACACATTGACCAGGACCCGCTGACCAGGACACATTGACTAGGATACATTGGTCAGGACACACTGACCAGGACACACTGACCAGGACACGCTGACCGGGACACATTGATCAGGACACACTGACCAGGCCACAAACACCTGCAGGCCAGCAGAGTCCCTGAGCTCGTCCATCACCTTCAGGAAGCTGAGGGCTCAGGTTCAGGCTGGCACAGAGGGCAGGACACGGCGTGGCCCTGCCCACCACGGCTGGGGATCTGGGCCCTCGGTGCCACCAGGGCAGCGTCACCTGGCCTGGGGAGGGTGGGACACCAGCTTTGCTTGTAGCCATCATGGTGCTGCCAAGGGGGTGCTGGGGGTTGGCAGAGCAACCAGACCTCGTTAATGGCTTGATTGGATCGAGCCAGAGGGGAGGTGCCCTGCCTGGACACTGTGCCCACCCTCCTGGGAGCTGGTGAAGAGCAATTCCACTCTGCACCTTTGGCCATTCCTGCCACTGGCAGCCAGCATCATGTGCCAGAGCTCCAGGCTAGCAAAAGCATCGTTTCCACTTCTGATTGGCCATTAATTAATTGCTTGTGCCGTGTGAGCTGGGTGTGATGACGAGGCTGGGCGTTAATTACCCCGGCTCCTTCCTGCCTGGCTGAACCCGTGCCCCGGGCCCCTGAACGCTCCCAGCTCCATCAGGGGAGCTGAGCAGCGAGTGCCCCAGCTCGGGTGACACCAGCACGCTGCAAGGCTGCCCTGCTGAGCTCCCAACTCAGCATCCACCGTGGCGAAGCCCCCTGACCTGTGCCCCACCAGGGAAACCTCGGTTGTAGATGGACTGGCCGTGGAATCACGGAGTCTCAGGCTGGTCTGAGCTGGGAAGGAGCAAGAGGTGACCTTGCCCACCCAGCTGCCACGGGCACTGCCACGAGCTGACGTGGGGCACAGGGGGACGAGCACCACCGGCCTCAGAGCACCTCACCGTTGTTTAACAGGGATTATGAGGGAAATTAAAGGAGTTTTTCCCCAAAATCCTTCTCAATCCAGTTCCCCTGCCTGCCGACGCACTGGGGCAGACTCCAGGCTCGTCAGCAAACCAGTAACTGAGGTGAGGAACAAGGTGGGATCAGAGCTCCAGGGAATCCCCCATGCCAAAACCCCATGGATTGAGGTGAGGAACAAGGTGGGATCAGAGCTCCAGGGAAACCCCCCCCCAAAATCCCATGGATTGAGGTGAGGAACAAGGTGGGATCAGAGCTCCAGGGAATCCCCCATCCCAAAACCCCATGGATTGAAGTGAGGAACAAGGTGGGATCAGAGCTCCAGGGAAACCCCCCCCCCTCAAAATCCCATGGATTGAGGTGAGGAACAAGGTGAGATCAGGGCCCCAGTGAAATCACCCCCACCCCAAACCCCCATGGATTGAGGTGAGGAACAAGGCGGGATCGGGCCCAGGGAATCCCCCCACGCCAAGATCCGATGGATTGAGGTGAGGAACAAGGCGGGATCAGAGCTCCAGGGAATCCCCATGCCAAACCCCCATGGATTGAGGTGAGGAACAAGGCGGGATCGGGCCCAGGGAATCCCCATGCCAAGATCCCAGGCAGCTGCAGATGGCGTTTCCCGGCCGGACGCTGGGCCAGCCCGAGCCCCGGGGCTGGCACCGGGGAAGGCGCTCGGGGACAACGGCGTGTCCGTGCCCCGGGCTGGGCTTCAGCTGTCTGCAGGGTTTATGATTCCTGTTCCCTGACAGCTGGGGCTGCCCCCAGCCCCGCTCCCGCAGGAGACCCCCGAGCGGGCTGCGGGCCGGGCTGGCAGCGCGGCGATGGGGCTGGGGGCGCCGGGACTGCCGGGCTGCTGTGGGGGAGCCCTCGGGGGCAGCGGGACCCCCGTGGCACCGCCCGGGGGTCTGGGACAGCGGCAGCCCCCGGGACGGGCCGGGGTACCGGGACCCCCCGCTCCGGTTTGAGGGGGGGGTCACAGACCCTTCCCGCCGCGCCGCGTGCGCCCGGACACATTTGACCGCCGCACCGCCGGAAACCCGTTCCGGGCAGGGCGTGGAGGGGGGGCGGTGGGACAAACTGTGGCGGGATGGGAGAGGACGGGACGGGATGCGATGGAATGGGATAGGATGGGACGGGACAGGACGGGTCGGGATGGGATGGGATGGGATGCGATGCGGTGAGATGGGAGAGGCGGAACGGGGCGGCGGCGGGGGAGGCCGGCGGAACGGAAGGACGCGGAACGGAAGGCGCACGGGCGCGTTTCCGGGGGCCGGCCCGGTGCGGCGGAGCGGCGATGGCGGCGGGCGGGCGGCGCTGAGGGACCGGCCATGGAGCGCGGGCCGGGCCGGCCCAGCCTGCAGCTCGTCCAGCAGGCCGTGCAGGCGCTCTACCACGACCCCGACCCCAGCGGCAAGGAGCGGGCGAGCTGCTGGCTGGGCGAACTGCAGCGCTCGGTGAGAGCCGCGGGCGGCGGGTACCGGGCCCGGGCTCGCGGGGAGGCCTCGGGCCCCATCCGGGGTGGGGCGAGGCAGGGAACGGCGGCTCCGTGGCGGCCTCGGGGAGCCTCTACACCGCCGCTTCCCGCAGCTCTGTGGCTGCCCCATCCCTGGGAGCGCTCTGGAGACAGACTGGGGACAAGGGATGGACAGGACACAGGGAATGGCTCCCAGTGCCAGAGGGCAGCCATGGATGGGATCTTGGCCATGAGGAATTCCTGGCTGGGCTGGAATTGCCAGAGCAGCTGGGGCTGCCCCTGCATCCCTGCAGTGCCCAAGGCCAGGCTGGACACTGGGGCTGGAGCAGCCTGGCACAGTGGGAGTGTCCCTGCTATGGCAGGGTGGCACTGCAGGGGCTCTGGGGTTCCTGCCCACCCACCCATTCCCCGGTTCCGTGATGAACACAAGGAGCGAGGGGCCGGGACGCTTGGCACAGAGGTAGCTGGGAAGGAGGAAGCGGCTCCCGGAGGGAAATCGGGGCTTCTCCTGCCGGCCGGGTGGGAGAGCCGCCGGGCCGTGAGGGGATGGAGCCACGGCCTCCTTCAGTCCCCGGAGCCCTCAGGACACACGCCCGGCTCTGGCGTGTTTGTCGGTGTTGTGTGGCCTCCTGTGGCCCTGCTGGAGCCGCTGTGTCCCCTCCCCTCCCTCAGGGGGTGGATGTTCCCCCCCGGAGCTGTGTTCCCTCTGTGCTCCCCCTTCCCCGAGCCCTCCCCAGGAGCGGGACGGGAAGGGCCGTGTCCTGCCCCTCCCTGCTCTGGGTGTCCCAGGGCCCCTGCCTGCTCTCTGGCCAATCCTGCCGCTCCTTGTTCCCACAAACTCCCGTTTTTCCCCGTTTCCCCCTGAATTCCGTGCCACGCTGCAGTTCCCATCGGAGCTCCCAAGGGAATGTGCACAGCTGGCTCTGGGGGCTCTGCTGCTGCTCCCCCATTTCCCCCAGGCAGGGGCTTTGCCACAGGAGGGAGATTCACATTTCAGGGGTCCCAGGCTCTCCTGAACCTGGGTGAGACCCCAGAATCCCTGTGCCAGGGACCCCCAAGCCTGGGGTGACCCAGCGGGGCCGGGGGCTGCCGGGGTGAGACCCCCAGGATTGCTGTTGGGTGAAGGGGTGTCCCCAGGCCGGGCAGCCCCATCCCCAGGAGAGTTTGGGCTTTTGGGGACTGATTTGTATTCCCAGGTGCTCTGGGAATCCCGGGGTCTCTGCTGCAGTTTCTCTGGGCTTTTCCCTGGGCTGTTTCTGATAGAATGGTAGTAGTAACAATAGCAATAATAATAGTAATGAAATCAGCAATAAGAATGTTGTTATTAACGCAGCAGCATTCCTGCTGCTCCCCTTTTGTTGGGTTACTCCCCCTGCTCCTCTCTGAGCCTTGTGTGCTGCTCCCAGAAGGAATCCCAGTTATTCCCACTTGTCCCAGGCCCAACCTGGTTCCGTCCAGCACCTTCCTCTCCTCGGAGCTGCTGAGTTATCCCAGCCCTGGTGGGGGCACTGAGGTGGCCCTCTTCAGCCTGGCATGGCCTGGCAGGGTGGGATGCCCCACTGGGACCTTTCCCACCTTGGGGTCATGGTGGCACTGGTGGCACTGGCTGTTTGTCCCTCAGGTGTCCCCATGTCCTGGTGTGGATGGAGGCACTGGGATTAACCCCCCAGGGGATGTTTGCTCGGATCCTCCTCTGTGCCAAGGCGTGTCCCTGCAGTGCCACTGTCACGGGCTGTTTGCTGGCACCCCTGGGCAGGCTGTGCCCCTTGCACAGCGTCCAGCCCTGCTCAGTTCTGTCCTGTTTGCCTCTGCTGGGAGCTCTCAGGGTGGGGTTCCTGCTGGTTTCTGCCTTTCTGGGGTTGTAATCACAGAATCCTGGAATGGCTGGGTGGGAAGGGGCCTCAGAGCCCCTGCAGTGCCACCCTGCCATGGCAGGGACACTCCCACTGCCCCAGGCTGCTCCAGCCCCAGTGTCCAGCCTGGCCTTGGGCACTGCCAGGCACAGTCTGTGGGGGCTGGCAGGGGGGCTGCCCCAGCCCCAGGGCACAGCTGTGAGCAGCACTGACAGCAGTGAGCCATGGAGTGCCCAGGGGTGCTGAGCAACCAGCCAGGGAGCAGAGGGCACACGGGGCAGGGGGTGAGCAGGAGGGGTGAGAGGGTGGTGAAGGACAGCAAGGGCAGATGCCTGCAGCCTTCTGAAGTGGGGTGATGGTGCTGTGTGTGGGGTGAAGCTTTCTGAAGTTGTATCTGTAGGATGCATCCTATCCTTGGGATGAGAAGACAAAGCCTAAAGCTGAGTTTGGGTGCCTGGGTCACTCTGTGGGGTTCAGGTTTGGCACTGGGGACCCCCAAACCTGAGTGAGATCCCCACACTTCCCATCCCTGGGATCTCTGGCAGGATGTGGGGTTCAGGTTTGGGTCTGGAGGTCCTGGGGGCTCAGGTTTGTCCCTCAGCTCCCCCAGCAGCCTCATTCTGGCCTTTCCTGCTGGCTGTTCCTGGAAAATGGGGCTGGACGTGGCAGAGCAGCTCTGAGCTCAGCTGAAGGTGCAAGTTGACCTAAATCCCAGAATCTGAGGCTCCTTCAGCCACCGTGTGCTGGGAGCTGTGTGAAGGCTGACTGCAGACTAGCTGGGGTTTCCTCAGGCACAGGGATTGGGATTGGCCTTGTCCCAGCTTTCCCAGCTTCATGGCTGGAGTTTCTCTGTGTGCCTGGTGTCTGGAGCAGAGCCCTGGGAGAATGTTCCGTGTGGATCCGTGGCTGTGAGCTGAGTGTTGGGGTTTTGGTGTGGATCAAGTGGAGGTTGCTTTGGGTTTCAGTGGGGGTTTGGCTGTATAGAATTCCTGCATGTGCCATGAGGAGTCTCAGGCACAGAAACAGCTTCTCTGGTGCTCACAGCCCATTAATAATTGTGCTCTTTGCTGAGCTGGGCTCCCAGACGGATTATCCGTGTGCCCTGGGACTGGTGGGTTTGGGAGGATCTCCTGTGTCTGCCACCGTGTCCATCCAGACTGGGAATTACCATCCTGTTAATTGAGGGGAAAAGAGTTTAGTGAGAGGGTTTGGTGGGATTCTGGCTGTTGCAGGTGTGGAGTTTAACTCCTTGTTTATTCCCAGCGTGGGAATTCCCTGTGAGGATAAATAAATCCAGGTGGGCTGTTTATGACAGCAGTGGCTCCGGTTTTTCTCACTCCCTGTTAGAGTCATTCCAGGTGAGTTTTACACCAGGAGTAGCTGGAGTTACAGCACCTGGGCAGGGAGCAGCAGAGCCTGGAAACAGCAGAGGAGCTTGTCTGAAGGCTCTGAAGGGCTCTGCTTGACCACACTGTGGTCAGTGGTGGTGATGACCAGCATTCCGTGGGGAAAATGTGCAGTGTCCCCTGGGAAGCTGCAGGGAGCTTCCACCTGGATGTGGCAGGGATGGATCCACCGGCCGTGGGGTTGAACCTGGAGGGGTTGAGGAGCTGTGGGGGGTGGCACCTGGGGACACGGGGCAGTGGTGGCCTCGGCAGTGCTGGGCAACTGTTGGACTCAATGGGCTCTGGGGGTTCCCAGCCCAGAGAATCCTGTGGAAAGGAGGAAGGGAGAGGAGAGGGGAGCACGTGGGGTGCTGAGGGTCCCAGTCTTCCCCCTTGTCTGGGCCCTTTGGGTTCTGCAGTTGGCTCCAGCTGCATTCCAGGCTCTAGTGGAAAGAGCTCCTAGCAGAAATTTGGGAGTGGGGTCAGGAGCTAGGCCCTGTGCTATTATTGCCAGCTATAATGTTTTCCTTTTCCATGTGCAAGAGACTGGGTTTTCCTGGGAATCAGCCTGGATCATGCTGATCCTGCCTGGTGTTGCCCTCTGGTTCCCCTGGCAATGCTGGAGAGCCCTGGGAGCCCTGGCCCAGGATTTGGGTCTGGAGCATTGTTGGGGTGGAGCCTCTGGGCACGGCTGTCCTGCCTGGGGGAGAGATTTGGAAAGGGGATTATTTTGTCTTCCAGGCTGGAACGCAGCTGGAAGCGAGGATGGGCAGGCAGTGGTTTATAACAAAGGGCTCTTTGGCTTTTGGAGTGACCGGCCAAGAGTTGTGATGGAATTGCCTTCATGTGAGGCTGGATTGAGGGACAGAGCTGGGCTTTAGGGACGCAGAGGTTTTATTTCACTCTGGATTGAGCTCAGGGAAGTCCTGTGGCCCAAAGGCTGTCAGAGACCAGGGCTGTGAAGCTCATGGAATTGGCTCAGGTTTTGTTCCCAGTTTCCACATCAGCTGGATTTGGGATTTTTAACCATGGTGGCCAGGGAGGTTTGGAGTCCCCATCCCTGCAGGTGTCCAAGGAAGGACTGGACGTGGCACTCAGTGCTGTGGGCTGTGGACAGGGTGGGATGGGGCACAGCTTGGACTTGAAGGTCTTTTCTAACCTGGGTGACTCTGGGGTTCAGTGAGTCTGTTCCCATGCCCCAGCCCAGCCAGGGGGCTCTGGAGTCTCACCAGCGCCCCAATCCCACCCTCAGGACCAGGTTCAGACCAGCCTGGCACCGGCTGGAGCTGCCCCGAGGCTGGGCAGGCCATGGGCTCCTGCCTGGCTCTCCTCCAGCTCTCGGGCACATTGGTGTTCTAGTCCTGGTGTGGGCCCTCAGATGATTCCATATTGTGATTGCAGTCTGGGGAGACTTTATCCAACCCCTCCTGCCACCTGTCCCTTGTTGGGTTCTCTCTGTGTTTGTTTCCATGTGAGACTCCACTTAGCCCAGAAAAGCCTCTGGTTGCCCTTTCCTGCAGGGGTGGGACATGGATCCCTGTGGAATGCGCTCTCCTGAAGGGGCTGTGGGATCTCTGCCGTGTAAGGTCTGTTATGGAGCTGCTCTGTCCTCCTCAGCTGGGTGTCCCAGTGCCAGCACCTGCCCGATCCCAGCCTGGGGATGGCAGCACAGTGTGGGCTCTGCAGCCAGGGCTGTTTGGGGAGTCAGGGAATGGCTGGGTGGAAAGGGACCTCAGAGCCCCTGCAGTGCCACCCTGCCATGGCAGGGACACTCCCACTGTGCCAGGCTGCTCCAGCCCCAGTGTCCAGCCTGGCCTTGGGCACTCCAGGGATGCAGGGGCAGCCCCAGCTGCTCTGGCAATTCCAGCCCAGCCAGGAATTCCTCATGGCCAAGATCCCATCCATGGCTGCCCTCTGGCACTGGGAGCCATTCCCTGTGTCCTGTCCATCCCTTGTTCCCAGTCCCTCTGCAGCTCTCCTGGAGCCCCTTCAGGCCCTGCCAGGGCTCTGAGCTCTCCCTGGATCCTTCTCCTCTCCATGTGAGCCCCCCCAGCTCTCCCAGCCTGGATCCCTGGGAACTGAGGGGCTCCAGCCCTGGAGCAGCTGTGGGGCCTCTCTGGACTCTCTCTGGCAGGACAGGGCTGTGTTTCCATTGGGAATTTGGACTGTCTGCAGCACCCTGATCCCTCCCAGCCCTGCCCACTGACCACAGCGTGGTTTTCCCACAGGTCCATGCTTGGGAGATCTCGGACCAGCTGCTGCAGATCCACCAGGATGTGGAGTCCTGCTACTTCGCGGCGCAGACCATGAAGATGAAGATCCAAACTTCTTTTTATGAACTCCCCACGGATTCCCATGCCTCACTCCGGGACTCCTTGCTGTCCCACATCCAGAACTTGAAGGACTTGTCCCCAGTCATTGTCACACAGGTTGGTGATGGAAGGGGGAGTGGAGCTGCTCCCTCCATGTCCTGCTCCTGGCAGTCACTCTGGGACTGCTCTCCCTGGGCTGGAAAACAGGGAAGGCTGATCCCTGCTCCTGGCCTGGCATGAGATTGTTTTCCCTCCTTCATCACTTGGTTCCTCTAGTTACATCCATTACTTCATCCTAGTTTGCTGTTTGGAGAGGAGGAGCAGGGGTTTTCCTGTGCTCTGCCATGGAGACCAAAGCCCTGGGTGTTCAGGGGGCTTTCTCTGCACCCTTCATTCCCATTATCCATGCATTCCTGTGGCACTGGGGGGCCTGACACCTGCAGGCTGAGCCAGGGTGCTCCTGCAGCCCCTGAGTGTTGTGGCAGGGAATGTCAGCCCTCGGGGCAGCCGGTGTTCCACAGTTCACCGCAGGGATTGCGCACAGACAGGGATGATGGAGATGGATCCTGGAGTTCCCTGCCCATGGGCCATGTTGGGAATGATTCCTGAGTTGTCTGCTGGCAGGGATGTTAGGGGTGGATTCCAGAGCTGGCTGCCAGCCCTGTCTCCTGGGCACATCCCAGCACTCCCCACATTGATCCATGTGTTTTCCATTCCCTTCCAGCTCGCTTTGGCAATAGCTGATCTTGCCCTGCAGATGGCTTCGTGGAAGGGCTGTGTGCAGACACTGGTGGAGAAGTGAGTGACTGTTCCTGCCTCTGGCCTGGGGACTGTTCTGTGGGCTGTGTCAGGCGGGTGTGGTGCAGGAAAAGGATGTTTTTCTCCCGTGGTGGCTGATTTCAGCTACCCTGTGTGGTGGCAGGAGGGGCTGTCTGCTGTGCATGCTTCCCTGCTCACAGCCCAACACTCAGCGCTTTTCCTCATCCCTGTTTTGTTAGGGATGATCCCTCTTCCCTCAGCTGTGTCTGTGCTGTGGATTGGAGCAGTGGGGCTGGAGCCAGTCACTGTTGGGTGTCCCTAGATGTCCCCACAGGATGACACACGCTGCTGCACAGTGACAGCAATAGCCCCTGCAGCTGCCGCCACCCTGAGTCCATTGGCAGCAGGAGGGGGTGGGATTTGTCCAGGCAGTGGCACCTGGACTGCCAGAGCTCATGGGCTGGGAAAGCTTCTGTTACTGCCCTGTTGGAAATCTGGGCTGAGCCATCCTGGAGGCTCCTCTTGGCAGGGCTGTGGCTGGACACTGCGTGTCCTTGGAGGAGGACTATTGCTGAATCTGTGGAATATGGAGTTGTGGGATGCTTGGGGTGGGAAGGGACCATAGAGCCCTGCTGTGGTCCGGGGCGCCCTGCAGCCCTCGCTGTGCCGTTCCCAGTGCTGAGGTGTGCCCTGTCCCTGTGGCAGGTACAGCAATGACGTGACGTCGCTGCCCTTCCTGCTGGAGATCCTGACGGTGCTGCCCGAGGAGGTGCACAGCCGCTCACTGCGCATCGGGGCCAACCGCCGCACCGAGATCATCGAGGACCTGGCCTACTACTCCAGCACCGTGGTGTCACTGCTGGTGAGCAGCCTCCAGCTGCCTCTGCCCCACGGCTCCCAGCCCGCCTCAGGGCATCGGGGCATTGCCTGGGCTGGAAAAGCCCTCAGAGCCCACGTGTCCAACCATCCACCACTGACCGTGTCCCCGGGTGCCACATCCACGTGGCTTTGAAATCCCTGCAGGGATGGGGACTCCAAGCCTCCCTGGGCAGCTGTGCCAGGGATGGACAGCCCTTTCCAGGAAGGAATTTTTCCAGTATCCAACCTGAGCCTCCCCTGGCACAGCTTAAGGCTGCTTCCCCTTGTCCTGTATCAGGAGATGGAGCTGAGCTGTGCCCTCTGCCCAGCAGCTCAGGTGTGGCTGGAGAAGCCTCTTCCCCCATTCCATGTTTATCCCAGCAGAGTTCCCTGCCAGTGCCACTGCAGCCTTTGGGGCAGCCCAACTCCACCTGTTCTGGGAGAAGTTATCTGAGCAAGTTCTTGCTCACTCTGAAATTACTTCACCTTCCTCGAGTCCCCTTCCAGGGCCACCCTGCCCAGCCAACCCCAGCTTTTCCAGGGACACCTGGGAGATCCTGGCTGGAGTATCAGGAGTCCCCACACTGTGCTATCCTCTCCAGCCCCATCTTTTCGTGGGACTCCTGGGATATGCCAGATGGCACATCAAGGGGCCTCCCACTGGGCTGTCCCTTCCAGCCATGTCCAGCCCCAGCTTTTCCCAGGGTCCCTGGGAGATCCTGGTTGACATGCTGGGGACACAGGCAGTGTCAGCTCACTCTGGTGCTCGTGGCTGCTCAGAGCTGACACAGGATCACCAAGGGCTGGCCCTGTCCCTGCACATTCCTGCTCCCTCTGCACCTGCCTGAAGCTTTCCTGAGCTTTCCCTGTTGGTGCCAGCATGGGCATTTCACCACCTACCTGGAGAGCCAAATTTATATTTTCTGTGTGGGATTTAAATGCCAAATTACCATCTTCAGTTACAAAATGGGGGGTTAAAGCAGCATTCCAGGGACTGTGATGAGGTCCAACATTCTGCCTTTAGGACTGAAGTGTCAAGTGAGATCTCTGGAAGCTCCTGTGCAGGGATTCCTGGGCCAGTCCAGGGTGTCTGGGATCTTTCTCCATGTCCTGCCTGTCCACCTCTTCCCCCTTTCCCTGTGCTATTCGAGGCTGGGGCTTTGGGCAGGGCTCTGCTGGTGCTGGGCTGCACCGGGAGCATTGGCCAGCACGGGGAATGAGCTGCTGCCATCCCACATCTCGGCACATCCTGGCTTGGACACTGGGGTGGCATGTTTGGAATGTCCCTCAGGACAGGTCTGACTCTCAGCACCAGCTTCTCTTTGCAGAGATGGTTTTTTGGGAGAAGAGTTACACTGGGATTTGTCAGGTGTGAACATCTCTGCTGGCTGTGCTCTGCTGGCCCAACACAGGATCCTGCAGGAGTGGGAATGAGGGAGGCACTCCAACTGCTCTTCCTGCTCCTGTGGGCTCTGTCTGTCCCTGTCACTGTGTCCAGGGCTGGTGACAGGGATGCTGGGAGCAGCCTCCTTCTGGAATGTTCTCATGTGGACTCCAGGATGTTACTGGTTATTTCTCATGGATCACCTGGAGTCAGATCCTGACCGGCTCTGCTGCGTCCCTGCAGGTGACCTGTGTGGAGAAGGCGGGCAATGAGGAGAAAATGCTCATCAAAATCTTCCGGTGCCTGGGCAGCTGGTTCAACCTGGGTGTCCTGGACAGCACCTTCATGGCCAACAGCAAGCTGCTGTCCCTGCTCTTCGAGGTGCTGGTGAGTGTTTCCCAGGAGGTAGGGGGGTTCCAGGGTGGGGCCCCTGGGGAATCCCAGCAGGACTGAGGCATGGAGCAGGCAGTCCCTGTGCTGGGAAGTGCAGGCAGGGAAGTACCACTGCCCACGAGGTGCCAGGTGAGGTTTGTCCACCGAGGGGTGCCAGGTGAGGTTTGTCATCCTCGTGGCTGGGCATCTGAAGCCTCTGTTGGGGTTTGATGGTCAAACCAGGGGGGTTGAGGTTATTTTGGTTTCTTCCCAGATTGTCAGTAAAGCAGTATTCCTTTTCTGACCCTTTCTCTTCGGAAGATCCACTCACGGAGGTGATGGGGTGTTTGTCTGGCTGAGTGTGGGAGGGCTGGAGGTGTGGAAAGTCCTGTGCCACTGAGCCAGGGCAGGCAGGGAGTGGAGCCAGAGCGAGGAATTCCTGGAGGATGGAGGTTTCTGCTGCAGAGATTGTCTGTCCCTCCTCCCTGTTTCACATGGGATCCCTCATTTGCATGATTCAATCAATGACAAATGCAGATGAGGGCTCCCAAGGAAGGATATCCATGCAGGATCCTGAATATCCATGTGGGATCCTGCTTTGAGTGGAGCTGTAGCAGGAGCTGCTCCCAGGACAGGCTGTGGGGCTCACCAGCCTGTTTAGTGGGTAATGGCACTTTAGGTGGGGTGTTTTTACTTCCTCCCCTTCTCCCTTCAGTGGCACCAGGAATTGTTTCCCAAATCCATTGAGATCTCGTTCAGTAGGACTCACAGAGTCTCTTCTCCTTTGTTTCCTCCATGCTTGCTCTCTCCTGGTTCTCTCTATGTCCTGTCTCCTTCCCTGTAGATGCCCCTCGCTCAGTCACCACCCATGGAATTCACTGACCCCCCAGACCTTCCCTGGTCAATATTCCACTTGTTGTGGAAACCTCGTCTCCATCCCCACCAAGGACTCCCCAGCTCCCACCTCTCCTCCCAGTGGGAGTGATGGCTCTGTGTCCAGCCAGGTGATGAGCAGCATGGTGGTTTCCTTCCTTCCCGGCTGCCCTGGGTTCCAGCTGGTGTTTTCCCTCCTGTGTTTGCCAGGGAAGTTGCCAGGTCCCTTGAGGAAGGGTCAGTCTGACTTGGAGTGTCCAGGGAAGCAGGTTCTGAGGCCAGTGCGGGGTAGTGGGGGCTTTGGCTGTGCAGGACCTCTACAAAGTGTTTCCACAGAATTCTTTGGGTTGGAATATATCTCCAAGATCAAATCCAGCCATTGTGGGACCAAGAACAAAAACCTGGTGGTTTCATTACTGTCTGGTGCATGATATAATTGGGGCTATGGAGGGGCAGCTCCCGTCCCTGCTCTGGTGACCAGTTACAGGACTCGGGGAACAGCTGGAGCTGTGCCAGGGAGGGTCAGGATGGAAAGCAGGAGAGGTTCTTCCCCAGAGGGTGCTGGGCACTGCCCAGGCTCCCTGGGGAATGGGCACAGCTCTGAGGCTGCCAGAGGTGCAGGCCAGGGTGCAGGCTCCCAGGGGTGCACAGGCTGGGATTGTTGGGGTGTCTGTGCAGGGCCAGGAGCTGGATCTGTGATCCCTGTGCTCCCTTCCAGCTCAGGAGATTCCATGACCCTTTAATAATTGCTGGGCTTTTGTGCCTTGCAGCAACAGGACAAGACCTCGTCCAACCTGCACGAGGCTGCGTCGGACTGCGTGTGCTCGGCCCTCTACGCCATCGAGAACGTGGAGACCAACCTGCCCCTGGCCCTGCAGCTCTTCCAGGGCGTGCTCACCCTCGAGAGTGCCTATCACATGGCTGTGGCACGGGAGGACCTGGACAAGTGAGGGACAGGGACCTGCGCTGTGGCTGGGAGGGGCGGGCAGGACAGCGCTGGCCCAGCTGGTGCCATGGCAGCCTCCAAACGGAGATAGCAGTGCCAGGAGCATCAGCAGTGCCCCCCCCTGTGCTGGGCACTTGTGGGGTCACACCCAAATCCTGGGGGCAGGTTTGGGCCCCTCACTGCAAGAGAGTCATGGAGGGGCCAGGGGCTGAGCTGCACTGGAACTGTGCCCTCACTGGGCTTTTGGAGAAGTTCGAGATCAGTATTTCAGCAGATTTGCTTATTGGAGCCCAGTGTTTGCACCCACTTCCCCTGCTGAAGCGTCTCCCAGCTGCTGGCACAGCACGAGTTGGGGTTGCTCTCTCTGGCCAAGGCCCTGGGCACGTTTTGGCCTGGCCGTGCCCCACACTGGGGTAGAGCCCGTGAGGCTGGTCCAGCCCTTGTCCTGCCTTGTCCCTCCGCAGGGTGCTCAACTACTGCCGTGTGTTCACCGAGCTGTGCGAGACCTTCCTGGACAAGATCGTGTGCACGCCGGGCCAGGGCCTGGGCGACCTGCGCACGCTGGAGCTGCTGCTCATCTGCGCGGGGCACCCGCAGTACGAGGTGAGCAGCAGCCAGGCACAGCGGGACACCTTCCTGCTGCCGCCACTGCCTTGTGGGCTGCGGGCTCTGCAATCCCTGCTCCGCGCTCCTGGGCAGGAGCCTGGCTTCGCGTTTCCTTCCGCGTGCCCTGGAATTGCCAGCACGGCTCTGAAACCCCTGTTAGTGCTCTCCCACACGTTAAAGTCGAGCTCAGTGGGGATTTGTGGTTCTGGGACTTTTGCCCTGTGAGTGACTGAAATGCTGGTTCACATGGAAGCAGCTGTCCACCTGTCTTAGGAGCAAAACTTGTCATTGTTTTGGTCTCTTTATCCTTTATTTAATTCTTCATCATTTTATTCTTCCCAAACCTTTAAGTGCCAGTAGCTGATCCCTGCCTGTGTTCAGTGGATGGAGGCTGCTGCCTGGCTGATTTGCCATGGGAGGTGCAGGGCACCTGTGCTCCAGCAGGCCCCACGTGCTCCCTGGGGTCCCTGGGACCCTTTTCTTCCCTTCCCAGGTCTGTTAAGCTCAGTTTTCCTCGGCCATGACCTCATCCATCAATGCCATCAGTGCTGAGGGGGACATGGAGCTCTGTAGCTGTTTCTGACTAAATCCACACTTGTGGTTTTTGTGCAATAACCACACAATAAAGAAAAGAACCCTCCACAAAGGGGCTGCATGCACTTCCAGCCCAAGCTGCTCCCAGAACCTCAGGCCCTGCTCTGGGGTGGTTCTGGGCCAGAGAGGCTTTGGCTGCCAAGGGCTGGGGCAGCTCTCCAGGGTCTCTGAGGGGTCCCAAGCCCTTTATTAAGTGACAGGCAGAGAAATCAGTGGATCTGGGGCAGCTGGCCCCTGTGTCACTACTGTGTGGCACAGCAGCTCTGACACATCTGTGGTGCTGCCACTGCTGCCACCCAGGGAGGGTTTCTCTTTCTCCGTTGGGACCACTGACAGAGTGGGGAAAAAACATTCTGCTATATTCTGTTATTCTGTAACAAAATGCTATATTTTTCTTTCCAAACAGGTGGTAGAAATTTCCTTTAACTTCTGGTATAGACTGGGGGAGCACCTGTACAAGACGGACGATGCTGTGATCCACAGCATCTTCAAAGCCTACATCCAGCGCCTGCTGCACGCGCTGGCCCGGCACTGCCAGCTCGACTCCGACCACGTAAGGGCCCCGAGGAACAGCTGGGATGTGTGTGTGTCCCTATGGAGCTGCCAGGGCAGTGGGACATGTGTGTCCCCTTGGAAACTGTGTTGTCCCTGCTTGAGGCAGTTTTATTGGGATAAGGATGGCATGGCTCACTAGCCACAGCTGGTATCTTCTTCCATGCAGTCTGGAATGGTTTGTTCTCCCCTCCTCATCCCCTTGCTTCCCATCCCTTCCTCCACTTGTTGGAGCAGGAATACAGTGTGTGCTCAGGCTGGTCATGTTTTCCTTGGGCACAGCTCTCCAGAGCCTCCAGCAGCCTGCTCTGTGACAGGAGGGCAGGAATGCTGGATCTCCTTGAAACAGAATCACTGGTGTTCCCCTGGCTGTGGCTGAGTGGGAACCTGAACTCCCCTGAGCTGCCCTTGTGCTCTCCCTCAGGAGGGAGTCCCAGAGGAGACCGATGACTTCGGGGAGTTCCGGATGCGTGTGTCAGACCTGGTGAAAGACCTGATCTTCCTGGTGGGCTCGGTGGAGTGTTTTGCTCAGGTGGGTTTGCAGCAGTGCACTGAGGTGCAGGCAAATGCCAAGGGAGGTCACCAAGCCCTGGTGGCCTTTGGGACTGGAGGAGGTCACACACATCCCTTGCACAAGGAAGTGTGTGGTGGGAACTGTTGTGGGAGAGCAGGAGGTGTGGGAGCAGCAGGAGGTTTCTGACATTTTGGGGAAAGCCACTCTGGTCCCACAGTACCAGGGTGGCCTGTGGGATGTGGGGTTTCTGCAGGCCCACGCCTGGGGCAGGAGTTTGGGGATGGGAGGGGTCAGGAACAGGGCCTTGGGGGCGGGGGTTGGTGACAGGGGCTCGTGGCCCCTCGGTGACCGTCCCTCCTGCAGCTCTACGCGACGCTCAAGGACGGGAACCCGCCCTGGGAGGTGACAGAAGCCGTGCTCTTCATCATGGCCTCCATCGCCAAGAGCGTCGACCAGTGAGTCCTGCCCGTGGCCAGGGAGCTGGGGGCTAGGGCTGCCTCCGTGTGACACAGACACCACAAATATCCCAAGGACATTCCCTTCCTTGGCAGTGTCCAAGGCCAGGTTGGACCTGGCTTGGAACCAGCTGGGACTGTGGAAGGTGTCCCTACCGTGGCAGGGGTGGCACTGGAGGGGCTTTGAGGTCTGTTCACACCCAAACCGTTCACTGGGGATCCTTCCACATCCAGGTGGAGTTTTCCTAGGTATCCTTAGGGAAGGTTAAGTCACTGAAAGTGTTTCCTCCTATGTTAGTGGCAGTGGAAGCATGGGCAGATGATACCCAGGGTGGTGAGCCCGCAGTGAGTCCTGTGCACTGCCAGCAGTGGGACAACCCAGCTGACCTTCCCTGGGCTTGGAATGCTGGGACACTGGGATCCCCATCACTCTCTTCCCTGGGAGGCTGTGAATGCTGTCACTCCTTTTCCCGAGGAGGCTAGTAACGCCATCCCTCTCTTCCTTGTGAGGCTGGGAATCCTATCCCACTGCTCCCCAGGCACCTGGAGGAGTCACCTCAGTCCCTTCACATCATCAGTTCCTGTTATCTGTGTTCAGGCTGCTCCTGCTTGCTTTTCCAATGCCTTGTTCCTGGGAGTGCTGGCTGGAAGCACTGGGGGCTCTGCCCCCACCAGCCTGGGATCACCCCATCACACCCTCCTGCAGCAGAGGAGGCAGTTCCCAGATAATGAACCCCCTTGTTCTCATGTCCCCCAGCAGTGGTGGGGCTCAGTTCCCAGATAATGAACCCCCTTGGTTCTTGTGTCCCCCTGGTAGTGGTGGGGCTCAGTTCCCAGATAATGAACCCCCTTGGTTCTTGTGTCCCCCAGCAGTGGTGGGGCTCAGTTCCCAGATAATGAACCCCCTGGTTCTCATGTCCCCCAGCAGTGGTGGGGCTCTCCCTGGAGGCATTCAGTGTTCCCTGTGTGTTTCCTGCTGTGGCACTGGTGTCCGTGGGGCTGAGCCCCATCCTCGCAGGGTTTGTCCCCGCGTGCTCTGAGTCACATTCCCCGTTCAGAGCATCCTGTCTGGCGGTGGGTCCGGCAGCCCCTGCCGGCCCACTCCGGGCGCTGAGCCGAGGCTGTCCCGCAGGGAGAACAACCCGACGCTGGTGGAGGTGCTGGAGGGCGTGGTGCGGCTGCCCGAGTCGGTGCACACGGCCGTGCGCTACACCAGCATCGAGCTGGTGGGCGAGATGAGCGAGGTGGTGGACAGGAACCCGCAATTCCTGGGTGAGTCCCGTGCCCCCGCGGCCCCGCCGCGCCCACCGCCCCCTGACCGAGCCCCTGTCTCCGCAGATCCCGTGCTGGGCTACCTGATGAAGGGGCTCTGTGACCGGCGCCTGGCGTCGGCCGCGGCCAAGGCCATCCACAACATCTGCTCCGTGTGCCGGGACCACATGGCCCAGCACTTCTCGGGGCTGCTGGAGATCGCCCGCGCCCTCGACTCCTTCGCGCTGTCGCCCGAGGCCGCCGTGGGGCTGCTCAAGGGTGGGTATCCCTGGCGCCTGCCAGGGTATCCATGGAAACTGCTGGGGTATCCACGGGAGTTGCTCCCCAGGGTGCTGAGCCCCATCCTCACAGCGTTTGTCCTGATGTGCCCCAAGTCCCATTCCACATGCAGAGCGTCCTCAGGAGTTCCCTTGGGGCTGGAGGCAGAAATAAATCCTAGATTGGTAACTGTCCCCATCCCTGAGACAGAGCTCAAGGACTGTCCTGGGCTGGGTATGTGGGAAGAACGTGTGGGAAATGCTGAGAGCCAGGCTGGCAGTGGGTCACTGCTCCTTCCAAACTCTGGGAATCACCTGCTGGACACAGAGGGTGGAGATTTGGGAATATTGGTAATTCTTTTAGAGCGTTTGGGCTCAAGAACAGAGATTTTTAACTCAAGAGTGTTGATGTCTCGCTGGACTGTTGGGTACCATGAGCCTCCTCAACCATGGCTGGTTTTGGGGATGTGCCTTACAAATTTTCAATGAATTCCAATGCTGTTGGAGCCTTTACCCCAGAGCCAGGGAGCCTTCCCTGCAGTCGTTTGCTGCCTGGGAGACAAAACTGCCCTTGTTCCACTGGATGCCCCAGCACCAGCCAAGCTGCTCCTCTCCCTGCCAGAGGGTTTTCTCCCCCTCAGAATGAGCCAGGAATTCCAGAGCCAGGGAGGTTTCCCCCTGGGGTGGTTGGCACCACAGCCAGGTCCTCGCTGTGCTGGAGCTGGGAGTGAGCTGCTGCCCGTTGGGAGTGGGAGCAGCTCAGTGCTCCTCGTGTTCCATGGCTGGGAGCCCCAAAGTGCCTTCCCTGGAGATTCCTGGGATCTCGTAGTGCTGCTCGACTGGGACAGGGACACTGGGGACACTTGGCTGGCCCAGATGTGCTTGTGGCATCTGTTGGCCTGTCCCTCATGCTAGCGTCGCTCCCTGCTGGGATTGAAGCGTTTCGGTGTCTGGTTTAACCAGAGCCAGGTTCAGCTGTGGGGAAACTCTCCCAGGCCCTGCCACTGTCCTGCAGCCATTCCATCTGGGAATGTCATTGCCCCTCCGCCCTCCCGTGCTGCATCCCTGCCCCTGAGCCGTGTGTGTCCTTGCAGGGACGGCGCTGGTGCTGGCCCGGCTGCCCCTGGAGAAGATCTCGGAGTGCCTGAGTGAGCTCTGCGCCGTGCAGGTGCTGGCGCTCAAGAAGGTGCGTCTGGATGGGTGGGACAGCAGCTGGGAGGGGACAGTGGGGACAGTGGCCAGGCCCCAGCCCTGCTATGGCAACTGTGTCCTCAGAGCCAGAGGTGTATCCTAGAGTAGTGGAATTGTTTGGGTTGGAGAAGCCCCTGGAGCCCCTTGAGTCCAACTGCTCCCCAGCACTGCCAAGGCCACCACTGGCTGTGTCCCCAAGTGCCACAGCCGCACAGCTTCTAAATCCCTTCAGGGATGGGGACTCCACCCCTGCGCTGGGCAGCTGTGCCAGTGCTAGGAAGTTTCCCCAATATCCAACCAGACCCTCCCCTGGCACAGCTTGAAGCCATTCCCTCTCATCCTGTCACTTGTTCCGTGGTGGCAAGGCCCAGCACCCACACAGGACATGTCCAGGACTGAGCCCTTCCCTAGTCCCACCTGAGGAGGTGCAGAGGTGCTGCTGGTGGGGGCAGTGTCCAGGCAGTGTCTTCCCAGGGCTACCTGTGCTCCTGAACTCCTATCCTTTTCCCTTGTTTTCCAGCTGCTCTCCCAGGAGCCAAGCAATGGCCTCTCCTCAGACCCTACAGTGCCCCTGGATCGACTCGCCGTCATCTTCAGGTGAGGAAGGAGCTGGGGCCCTGCTGCTCCCCCAGAGCCTGAATCTGCACCGCCTCCTTCTCCCCAGCCCTTGGGAAGTGGGCTGGAAGTCTCTGCTTCCCCAGGTTCCAGCACCCGACCAGTTCCTGGTCCACTTCCCAGAGTTCCAACCCTTTTCCTTTGCTTTAATCCCAAACCCCCCTTAACCCTTGGCTGTTCCCACAGACACACCAACCCCATTGTTGAGAACGGCCAGGTCCACCCGTGCCAAAAAGTCATTCAGGAGGTGCGTGGGAGAGGGCTGGGATTTGGGGAGAGGGTTCTGGTGGGGGTTTTGGGGTGGGGGTTTCCAGGGGTGGGGGTACCTGGGGTGTTGTACAGAGTCCCAGTCCCTGGCTGCCAGGGGATCCATGTGTCTGCCCAGGGCTGCACGGGAGGGGAGCTGTAGGGCACCCTCCTGTCCCTCCTGGAAGCAGGGATTGGGGTGTGGAGGGGGAAATCTGAGGCTTCAGCCCTCTGGAAGGGTCCTGGCTCTGGGAATGCCCCAGGTGTTTGATTTCCCTGCCCGTGTCTCATTTGCTGCACTGGAGGGAATGAATCAGCCCAGGCTCCTCCAGAAAGCTTTTCTCCCTCATCTGCCATCCCCCTGGGATCGGGGTGTTCTGGGACCGGGAGGGAGTGGGCGGTGTCCCGGCTGGGGTGTGACCCCTCCCGCGTGTCCGTGCCCAGATCTGGCCGGTGCTGTCGGAGACCCTGAACAAGCACAGTGCCGACAACCGCATCGTGGAGCGCTGCTGCCGCTGCCTGCGCTTCGCCGTGCGCTGCGTGGGCAAGGGCTCGGCCGCGCTGCTGCAGCCCCTCGTCACCCAGGTGCGCGGGGCTCGGGGGGCCGGGGCTGCCGCGGGGGCTCGCTCGGGTCGCTGTGCCTGCCGCGAGCGCCGCAGGGGCGGCTGTGGGCACTGGGAAGTGCCGCGGTGAATCCTGGCAGTCTTGGGAATTCCAGCATAAACCCGTGGGGAGGAGAGAGGCTTTGGAAGAGGTTGTGGATCCCTCTGTGTGTGTGTGTGATTTGGGAGGAGTGTGTGAAACCCTGCATGGTGCAGCTCCCTGGGGAGGTAACCCAGCCTGAGGGAAGGATCCTTGAATCCCAGAGCTGGTGTTCCCTGCACCGCTTGGCTCCTGCCGGGCTCCATGGGGAAGCTTCCATGGAGAAGTGCTGCTGGCCCAGGTGGCCTCAGCACAGAGATGCTCCCAGGACCTGAGCAAGTCCATTGGGATGTCCCTGCCCACAGGGGACAGGCTGGGCCCGGAGGGATGTGGGGTCAGGGCAGACCTGGCGATGCCTGTGCAGCGTTCCTGTCTCCCCAGATGGTGAATGTGTACCGGGAACACCAGCACTCCTGTTTCCTCTACCTGGGCAGCATCCTGGTGGATGAGTACGGCATGGAGGAGGGCTGCCGGCAGGGCCTGCTCGACATGCTGCAGGTGGGGCCCCAAACCACAGCGTCACTCAGGGTGGAAAATCCCTCAGACCACACCGAGTCCAACCATCCCCCAGCACTGCTGAGGCCACCACTGACCCTGTCGCCAAGTGCCACATCCACACAGCTTTTCAGTCCCTCTGGGGGTGGGGACTCCACCCCTGTCCTGGGCAGCTGTGCCAGGGCTGGACAGCCCTTTCCAGGGGGAATTTTCCCTAATATCCAGTCTCTATATAGAATCTCAGACTGGTTTGGGTGAGAAGGGACCTTGGAGCCCATTCGTGGGCAGGGCCACTTTCCACTGTCCCAGGCTGTCCCCAGCCCCCACCAGCCTGTCCTTGGATGCTTCCAGGGATGGGGCAGCCCTAGCCTGGTCCATGTGGGGAAGGGCCCTTGAGGAGTGATCCCAGGTAGTTGCTGATGGATCCCTGTTCTCCCCAGGCTCTCTGCATCCCCACCTTCCAGCTCCTGGAGCAACCCAACGGCCTCCAGAACCACCCGGACACCGTGGATGACCTCTTCCGCCTGGCAGCCAGGTGCCACCTCCTTCACAGGCCCCCCGGCCCCCCTCCCCTCGCGGAGGGTCCCCGTGAGCACCCATGGGGGCAGTGGAGCGGGGAGAGGCAGGTCCTGCCCTGACGTCCGTGTGTGTCCCCGGCAGGTTCATCCAGCGCAGCCCCATCACCCTGCTGCGCAGCCAGGTGATGATCCCCATCCTGCAGTGGGCCATCGCTGCCACCACCCTGGACCACCGGGACGCCAACTGCAGCGTCATGAAATTCCTGCGGGATCTGATCCACACTGGGGTGGCCAACGACGTGAGTGACCCGCTGGCACGTTGCTCAGGAGGCTCTTCCTCCATGGGGATGTCACCATGGATTCATGGAATGGGTTGGTGGGAAGGGACCTCAGAGCCCCTGCAGTGCCACCCCTGCTGTGGGCAGGGACACCTCCCACTGTCCCGGGCTGCTCCACACCCCGTCAGCCCCACCATCCTCATCTGCCCTGTCCGCTTGTCCCCACAAGCCACCCTGGTTTCTCCACCGCTGCTGGCCGAGAAGCTCTGGGGTTTGCCTGCAGAGCGAGGAGCTTACCCCTGTCCCCAGGCCCTGCCCACCCCCTTCTCCTTCCTCCCACAGCATGAAGAGGACTTTGAGGTGCGGAAGGAGCTCATCAACCAGGTGATGACCCAGCTGGGGCAGCAGCTCGTGAACCAGCTCCTGCAGACGTGCTGCTTCTGCCTCCCGCCCTACACCCTGCCCGACGTCGCCGAGGTGCTCTGGGAGATCATGCAGATCGACCGCCCGGTGAGGGGAGCGACCCCAGAGGGCAGGGCTGGGACCCCGAAGCTCTGCCGAGGCAGGGCCCGGGAGCCAAGCCGGGCTCCACATTCCGAGTTCCTCCCTTTCCCTGGCACAGACGTTCTGCCGCTGGCTGGAGAACTCGCTGAAGGGGTTGCCAAAGGAAACCACGGGCGGAGCCATCCAGGTGACACACAAACAGCTCACCGACTTCCACAAGCAGGTCACCAGGTGAGTGGCACCGGGACCTCCAGCTGGCACCAGCTCCCTCCTTCAGGCTGGCCTCCAGCAGCCCCAGCCCCAGCCCTGCCTGTGCTGCTGATCCTGCTGGGATGTGCCATCTGCCTGCACGGGCACACGGAGCCCTGGGGCTGCGTGGTGCCTTTGCTGTCACCCAACGGGTTTTTCTGCCCGGCCTGATCCCTGCAGAGCTGCAGCCCTTCCTGAGCCACCTCCTCATCCCCATGAGTCACTGGTTCCAGCTGCCAGGCCCTGCCCAGGCCTGTCCCTTCCCAGGGCCACCAGCTGCTTTGGGAACGTCAGCTCTCTCTGCCTGGCTCCATCTCACCCCTGGACAAATCCCAGAGGCTGAGTGCCCAGGGGCAGCTGGTTCCTTCCACCCAGCCACCACTGTGGTGGCACACAGGGACAGTCCTGGGGGCTGCTGACCTCATTCTGCCCTGATGATTGTCCCTTCATCTCTCCCAACACCTTGGAGCCCAGCTGCCACACTCCCACCTCCCATCCCTCAGCAGGACACCTTCCCTGGGTCCCAAATGTCCCCTTGGGGTCACCCCCTGATGTCACCCCTTGTCTTGCAGTGCTGAGGAATGTAAACAAGTCTGCTGGGCTCTGAGGGACTTCACCCGCCTGTTCCGATAGCTCCGGCTCCACATGGCACCTGTCTCCCAGGTAAGGGCCTGGCTCCTGTCCCTGCCCCACAGGACATCGGGGACAAAGGGCTGAAGCTCCCTTCCTCCTCCCAGGAATGTCTTTAAGGAGAAGACAGGAAACAGCAACCCAAGAATGTGTCCCACAATCAGCCGAGGGCTCTCGCCCGCTCCAGCGCGTCCCCGAGTCCGGAGCCACGGGAGGAGGGCTCGGGGGTCCCGGCGGCCGCGCGTTCCGGGGCTCGGCCACCGCCACGAGCAGCAGCCCCAGGGCAGCACCTCCAACCCAACTGCAACCCACCAGGCACCGGAGCCACGCGGGTCCCCCCGGGTCCGCCCGGCAGCAAAAGAAGTAGAAAAACTTTCTGTGAAATGGAGACAAAAAAAGAAGGAAAAGAAACAAACAAAAAACAAACAGTACAAATTGTTTAGGAAGATGGGGGGTCAGTCGGGGGTCCTGGGGCGCTGCCCCCCTGAGCCCACCGTGGCCTGCCTGGCGCCGACTCCCAGAGACGACGCAGGCGGGACGGACTCTGCAAATAGAGATTTATATTTTATTTTGTTCTGCTTTTTTTGTTTGTTTTCTTGTTTGGTTTTTTTCTGGTTTTTTTTTTCCCTTTTTCGGGGTTTTCTTTGGTTTGATTTTGGGGTAGGAGGCGGTGGCTCGAGTGCGGGCAGGGCGGGCGGGCGCATGCGGTTCCCTCCGGGGGTGTGTAGCCATCTCGAGAACAATAAAAAACAACAAAAAACTGAAAAAATAAATTAAAACCTCCCAAGGTCCCTCTGGTTCTCCTCCCAGGGCTGGGGCTGCTTTGTGCCCCCCCCAGTGCTGGGTACCCCCCATCCCTGGGGGCTCCAGGTCCAAGGTGGCCCCAGCCCGTTTTCTTGCTGTTTCCCCCGAAAGTCCCAGGGGGATTATCCTTGCAATGCAGGGAGGGTGGGGGGTCACAGTGCCCTTCCCCTGCAGAGCGCCCTGGTGCTGGTCACTGGCAGCTCTGGGGGGACAGGGACAGGGATGAGGACGGTGCTGGGTGGACCGGCCCACCAGCCGAGATGGCCACAGCGTGACTCACCCCGGCTGGCAGTGCCACGGCTGTCCCCGCTCCCTGTCAGTGGGGCAGGGGCCCGGGCAGCGCCCAGGGCCCCGCGGAGGGGCCGGGCGGGGGCTGCGCCGGCGGCAGCCGCTGGTGGCTCTGCCACAGCTGGTGCAGCTCCTTGAACTGCTCCACCATCCTGTCCTTGAGGTCGGGGTGCGAGATCTGCAGCGGGATGCTGTCGGCCGACCAGGAGAGCTCCCCGGAGAACATCTCCAGCAGCAGCCGCGCCGCCACCGGCACCACCTGCGGGAGCGCAGGGCGTCACCGCGGCAGGGACCCCGCCCGAGCCCCCGGCACGGCCCCTCACCTGCACCGTGATCAGCTTCTTCTCCTTGGGCTTCTGGTCCGGCCACTCCTCGCCGAAGCACAGGAAGATCTCAAAGGGGGGCGGGGTGGGGGTCTGCCCCTTCTGGAACTGGATGAGGCCTGCGGGGCCCCACACCGCGGTGAGGGCCACCCCGAGAGCCAGCCGGTGACCCCCCTCCCAGCTCTGTCCCCCCATTCCACCAGTGCCAGCTGGTGTCCCCACCATTCCAGCTGGTGTCCCCATTGCACACTTGTCCCCCTGATGCCACCATGTGCCTGGTGCGCCCCCACCCCAGCTGGCCTCTCCATCCCAATCCATTGCCCTCGAGGGTCACAGGGCCACCTCCCCTTCCCCTCTGACCGTTGAGGAAGCCCTCGAGGCTGAAGAGCTTGGTCCTTCTCTCCCTCTGGATGGGGTTGGGGCCGGGCTGGGGAGCGGCGCACGGCCCCGTCCAGAAGACCTTGCACTGGCAGAGCCGGAGGGCAAAGAGGTCCTGGCCCTGGAGCTCCAGGATGAGCCCTCGGTCCAGCACGTCCAGCAGCTGGTGGGTGTAGAAGCGCTGCTTCTCGTTGGGAATGGCGTCGGGAGCAGGGAAGGGCACCTGCTCCAGCGTCAGGGGCCCGAAGAGCTCCTCCTGCTCCCTCGTGGGCTCCAGGCTGCTGTGGAACAGCCGGCAGCCGTGCGGGTTGCTGACGGTCAGGGCGCACACCTGGCGGCCCCGGTACTGGAACTTCAGCTCCAGGTCAGTCACTGCCGGGGGGCCAGGGGTCAGCGGGGCTGGGAGCACCCCCTGGGCCCCCCATCCATCCCACTCTGTGCCCACAGTCACCCCAACCCAGCCACCCCATGGCCACCATGGCCCCCTCACCCAGCGGCCCTGTGCCCACTCCCATCCACCCCATACCCTTCCAGCCATGACATGGCCTCGCCACAGCCATGGCCACCCCAGCCAGCGCCCCCAGCCCCCCCAGCCCTGCTCACGTGGCAGCGTGTGGGGGCTGACGAGCAGGTCGGGGATCAGGTGCTCCGTCGGTGCCACCGGGCAGGTGGATGAGGGCCCCGGGGGGCCCAGGGGGGGCCCCATCTCAGCGAGGGCGCCGGGGAGCAGCTCAGGGCCCCCGTGGGTGCCCCCCGCCTCCCCCTGGAGCAGGGCCGGGGGGGGAGGCCCAAAGGGCCCCCCGGGGGGGCAGTGGCCAGCAAAGGGGGGGGCCTCCTCCTTGGCCCAGGGGTAGGGGGGCAGCAGGTCTCCCCCGTGCTGCGTGTCTGGAGCAGAGAGGGGGGTCAGAGGGGGCACCCCAGCCCCCCTGACACCCGACCCACCCTGAGCCCCCCACTCACCATGGATGCTCAGGGATGTCATCTTGTGGAGCTGCAGGGCAGAGTGGGCGTTACAGGGACCCCCTGGGGCATCCCCGGTTTGGGGATCCCCCCACCCTGAGCCCCCCCAGATACCTGGCTGACGTCTTCCTCCCCGCTGCAGCCATAGTCATCCTCGTCTCCCCCGTCTGCAAGGTTGAGAGGGGCTGGGAAAACAGAGGGAACTGGGGGGATATTGAGGGGTTCTGGGGACTCATGGGGGGGATATTGAGGGGTTCTGGGGACTCATGGGGCACTGAGGCTTCACAGGGGGGTGGGTCCCTTGGGGGGGCAGGTCTCTGGGGCACTGGGTCCTTGTGGGGTGTGGGGGCTGCTGGGGGCTGGGACCTCACGGGGTGCTGGGCTTTGTGGGTGTGGGGGACTGGGGGGATGTCAGGTCTTTGTGGGGTGCTGGGACTTCGGGGGCCGCTCAAAGGCCTCCGCAGAGCCCGTCGTACCTGCGCCCCCGGGGGGCTCCTCGCAGAGCTCGTAGACGCGGAAGGGCTGGGCCGGGGAGCCGCGGGGCCCGTCCACCAGCAGCCGGAACTCGCGGCTCTTGTTGAGCGCGCAGCGCAGCGTGGCCTTCCAGCGCGGGGGGTCCGGCGGGTCCCCGGCCCGGAACCGGCCCGTCTCCTGCGCCCACGCCTGCGGGGGGGTCAGCCCCGCCACCCCCAGCCTGCCTGTCCCCGCGTGCGGGTCCCCCTTGCCACCCCCATCCCATGTCCCCCCATCGTCTTTGTCACCCCATCCCGTGTCCCTTGTCACCCATCACCCTGTCACTCCTGTGCCTTGTCCCCCAGATCCCCACTGCACCCATCCCATGTCCCCCTTGTCACCCCATCACCCTGTCACCCCTATTCTGTTTCTCCTATACCCCTACTGTCCCCATGCCGCGTCCCCCTTGTCACCCGTCCCACATCGCCCCCGTCCCGTGTCCCCCAGGCCCGCACGGTCCCCATCCCAGTGCCCGTTGTCCCTCCCGCCCCGTGTCCCCGGTGTCACCTTGAAGATGGTGTCGTGGTCCTGGGGCCCCGGGGGGTTCCTGGTGGCGTGTCCCCAGGGGATGACGAAGCGGCGGTGCTCGGGGTCGAGCCAGCGCAGCCCCGGGAAGCGCCGGCTGCTCACCTGGGCCACCAGCCAGGGCTTGAGGCGCACCCGCCGCGGGGGCTCCATGGCCTGGGGACCCCAGCGGGCACCGCGTCACCCCGCGGCCGCCCTCGCTCCGAAAGAGGAACCGGGCCCGCACGGGCCCGGGGAGCCCCGGTTCCGCTTTCAGGGCCGGGAGGGGGCGAGGCCCCCCCGAGCTCTGCGCCCCCGTGGGCGCCGGGGGCGTCACCCGCACCCCGAAAGCAGAAGCTGCGGTGGCTGCGGGGAAAGAAAAGAGGAGCTGAGAAGGGGAGGGGACAGGAGGGACAGGAGACACACAGAGAGAGGGACACGGGACAGTGGGATGTGGGGGGATGGAGGGGACACAGGACAGGGGACACGAGGGACAAGGGGAGGACACGGGATGGGAAACGCGGGGACGCAGCGTGGACAAGGGGAGTGCGGTGCTCGGGGTCGAGCCAGCGCAGCCCCGGGAAGCGCCGGCTGCTCACCTGGGCCACCAGCCAGGGCTTGAGGCGCACCCGCCGCGGGGGCTCCATGGCCTGGGGACCCCAGCGGGCACCGCGTCACCCCGCGGCCGCCCTCGCTCCGAAAGAGGAACCGGGCCCGCACGGGCCCGGGGAGCCCCGGTTCCGCTTTCAGGGCCGGGAGGGGGCGAGGCCCCCCCGAGCTCTGCGCCCCCGTGGGCGCCGGGGGCGTCACCCGCACCCCGAAAGCAGAAGCTGCGGTGGCTTCGGGGAAAGAAAAGAGGAGCTGAGAAGTGGAGGGGACAGGAGGGACAGGAGGGACACAGAGAGAGGAACACGGGACAGTGGGATGTGGGGGGATGGAGGGGACACAGGACAGGGGACACGAGGGACAAGGGGAGGACACGGGATGGGAAACGCGGGGACGCAGCGTGGACAAGGGGAGTGCACAGGGGACAGGGGACACACGGGGGATGGGGGACACATGGGGACGACACTGAGGACATGAGGACGTGGAGGGACACGGGAAACACGGGAGACGGGACATGGAGAAGGGAGGAGGGGCACGGGTGACATGAGGAGAGAGGGGACACAGGATGGAGAGGACACGGTCCATCCACGGTCCATAGGACGAGGGGGGGCAGGGGGTGGCACAGGAGGGATGGTGGGACACGGAGAGCACGTGCGGGACACGGGGACACGGGAGGTCCCCACCGCGGTCCTTGTGCGGTCACAGAAGCCCCGCGAGGGGAGCCCCCCGCTCCCCTCGAGCCGGGGGTCCCCGCCGGTCCCCACGCGTGTCGCACGGACGGCCCGGCCGCGGCCACCGCGCCTGGGCACGGCGTGTCCGGGCTGCCGCGCCCCTCGCGGACGGGGCACTGTCCCCGCGTGTCCCCGCGGCTTTTCCCGGCCATCTCGGCACCGCCCCGCCACGGCGCCCACTGCCGCGGCCCCTCCCCACGGGCCCCCTCCCCACGGGGTCCCACCCCACGGGAATCCCCCGCGGACCCCCCGCGCCCGTCGGGAGCGGCCCCGGCTCTCACCTGCGCTCGGGCCGCTCCCGGGGCCGCCGCCCGGCGCTTCCGCACGGGCACCGGGCGTGGGCGTGGGGCGAGACCGGCCGGGACCGCCCCGGGACACGGGGCGTGCACCGGGGCTCCCCGTGTCCCCACAGGACCCCCCGCGTGTCACCTCCTCGTGTCCCTCCGAGCCCCCACGGCTTCACCCCAGGTCCCCCTCCTCGGTCCCCCGTGTCCCCCCCGTGTCCCCACCCTCGTGTCCCCCTCCCGCGTCCCGCCCCGTCTCCCCGGCTGTCAGCCCGCACTGCTCGCAGACCCCTCATTAACATACTATTTGCATATATTTGCATACACAGCGCCCAGTTCCCTCTCCACGTGACGCGCGGGGATCTCCGCGGTGGGCGGGGACACCGGGGCGCCTTTGCGGACTTTGATTGGCCGCACTCTCTGTCATTCATCTGCGGGCGCACCGGCGCTCCCGCCCCCTAGCCCCGCCCCGAGGCAGCTGTCTGTCAATGAGGGGGCGTGGTTTAGATGGGCGTGACCAAGGGCTGCCAATAACGTAGCGGGAATGGGCGGGTCCTGCCCGGGGTGGGGCTGCTCACAAGACACGGGGTGGGGGCGGGGCCTCTCGGGGCGG